AAATGCACTCATCTCTGTATCTTTTCATAAAAAGGAAAGTTGATGAAGTAAGTTTTCAGGAAATTAGAAGATTTAACCAACATTCATGTTTAAAAAACTTCATAAAGCAAGTTATTTAATGCAGGTCTTACAATTCAGAAACATGCTCAAAAACCCCAATACACACCACTCTAGCATTGCTGGCCTTATGTTTTAGACCTATACAAATTATATGAATAGATTCAACCAGAATCTGATCATCAAGAGAAAACATGGCAAGTGTTCTGGTGGAAGAATTCTTTATGCTCAAAATCACATATACCAAAACATATTTTTGCAGCTTCTGTGATGGAGTCAAATCAATGTTTCCAGTCTACTGAAGACAGAATTTTAAATGCGACACATTTAACAAAACCATGAAGAGTCTGTTTGGATCCAAGAGTTTTTGTTCAAACTGCAAGCATCCTGGGCTCCCCGCCACTGAACCATTCATCATCCCCATATGTACTGGGGAGATTTTGATTTTCCTTAGTTCTGACAGAGACACTGCAGCACTGGGAAATTATTGCAGAACTCCAATGGTTCTTCTGACAATCAGCCTCTACAGCAGGGGTCGGCAACCCCCGACATGCATGCCATTAGTGGCACGTGGAGACATTTTTCTCGGCATGCCAGGAGGCACACAAAGGAACTGGGTTTTTTTGTGGGTTTTTTTTTTTTGTTTTTTAACATTGCTGCTCCCAGCTCTCCTGTGCAGCCACAAGTCCCAGCACCGTGGTAGGCACCAAGGTGGACCCAGAAGAACACAGACAGAGACACTGTCTGTGCTCTACTGCCCCCACCCCTTGCTCCCAGGCTGCACCCTCCAGCCCAGCTGGCCCCTGGAGGCAGCTGCCCAGGCAGGCAGACGCCCTGTCCCATCTGGGGCAGCACTGAGGTGCCGAGTGTTGGGGCTGGGCGGTCGGGGCAGGATCTTGGCAGTGTGTGGGGAGGCACTGGGAGGCAAGCCAGCCCAGTTGGGCCCTTAGGAAGGCAGGGGCTGGGCCGAAAGTGGGGGCTGCCTTGGGGCTCTGCAGGCTCGAGCTGTGGTGGGTGGGCAGGTGGGGGTGCCCAGCAGCACCCAGGGTGGGGCCTGGGCAGCTTGCGTGGCTCTGCAGGGATGGGCCACAGCCACCCTGCGCATGTGTGGATGCTGCCTGGCTGGGGCAGGATGCTGGGCTTGGGGGACTTCCCGCTCTGGGATAGGCCTCCCTGCATGCTGAGTACAGTGCAGGCAGGACAGAGCCGTCCCCAGTGCAGAGGCCTGGCCACGGGAGCCCCTTGGAGCCTGGGAATAGCCACCGCAGCTGCCTCAGCCTGCCCCGGTCCTGGCCTTGCCCACCCACAGTTCCCCTCAAGGGGCCAGGGCTGGGGCAGGCACTGCACAGAGCTGCTGTGCTGCAGGCTCCCAGCTGGCTTGGCCTTGAGCACCGGCTGTTCCCCAAGCCCAAGGAACAGCCTGTGGCTGCAGCTCCCACTCCCACTGTACCCAGCACACACACAGACCAAGCAAGAGCCCCCTGAGCCTGCCCCAGCCAGGCTGCGTCCCTTTGTGGGCAGAGTGGCTGCACCCCATCCCCGTGGAGCTGCGCAGGCCAGCTGGGCCCCACCTCCGGTGCTGCTGAGACCCCCACTGTGGCCCAAGTAGTGGAGCCCTGGGGCAGCCCCCGCTCCCCGCCTGACACCAGCTCTCTATTTACTGTAAAAAAAAATAAAAATAAAAAAAGCAACATTAATGATTATTAATAGTATTAAATATGCAGTGCATCCTGCCATGTACCCCCTCTGCCCCAGTTTTGTTTTTGTGGCATGCTGGCACTCCAGCACCTTACAAGGTAGACATTGTGGGTTTTTTGGCACTCCGGCCAAAAAATATTGCCTACCCCTCCTCTATAGGGACAGAGAGCAAGTTTCTATTACTTAGTCTATGTGCCAAAGAAGCCAAGTGCAAATCTTTTAGAACCACTTGGCTTTTATGGTTTCCCACTCCTGGACTTGTAACCTTTTGCCCCGTGGTATTATGCACTTCAAGACAGTTTTGCAGAAGCGAGACCCTCCCTCAAATTCCAGTTGACAAGCCAAAGTTCAAGCAACAAAGCTTATGCTAAGCCATTTTGTTGTTAGGAATTTATTTCAACTGTAAAGAAAAGTTTTTGATCTTTATTATTTAAATTAGCTCATCTGGAACATGTACCAAAACATGCTGCAAGGTACACCACCTTCCTGGATGCTGCTTGCAAGTATCCATACAGAATCGGATCCATTTTAGCTGTGTCACAAAGGGAGATGGGAATTTGCACTGTCAGTTTCCCCAGCTCTCACATCTCAGGGTAATCGAACATTACCTGACCTAACAGAGAAACGACTGATCCATTCTTTTATCTTATTGTCACAAATAGATATTTTTGGGTCTCTACAACAGATTCTTTTCTAGCTAAAGCAGTCCCCTGCTCTGTTCATACAGTATGTAATCTCAAGAACATTTAGGGTGACAGTTGAGTGTCTAATTAGCAAGAAGCCTGTTTTTTTTCTGTTTAAAAATCACAAATTCTCTCATTAAAACACCCAAAATCCATGTTTTTCCATTATTAAAATGAAACGCCACTATATAGATATATCTCAGTATAGATGTATCACGTGAATACAATGTTGTATTTTATTCAACTGATATCCCACCCGATGGGGGCCTCAATCCTCCCCACTACTTAACCTGCATGAAGCTGCTCTCCAAACTGCCTGGCTGCCATGTGCATGTGTGCATGCACACGTGGTGGCCCCTGCCTGATCGTCCTCCTCCCACTCCCTCCAGCCCCTTGCAGGCTGGAATTCTGCTAGCCTGCAAGGGGAAACCCACTGCTTCCTCCATTTTTCTTCTTAAAAAGAGAAAAAGGCCACATTTTACTGCTTTTTTTTTCCCCATGGCAAACAGAAAACCCAGATCGCTGCTAATTAGAACAAAAACAAAACACTAATTCCAAAATGGCTGACAGGTAAAAGCCACAAAATGTTGGGTCATGTAACATGTGCATATATCTGTGCTAGATGCCAGCAGACACCAGTGCTTTGCATCATCAGTAGAGGAAGTCAGACAGAACCCAGTTAGTATTTTTCTTCTTGTACCAAACATTACTGCAGTTACTGAGGATCACTGACACTTGTTCAAGTTAGGAAAGCAAAACAGGGGATAGGATGACAAGAAATAACCTTCTATCATAACCTCTGGGCTTCAAGTACTATTCTGATGAATAAATAGGGTGGGGTTAAAACAAATACCCACTTTTCCCAATAATTAATTAAAAGAGACTATTAAAAGACCACAGTTATCTAGTCCTGACTTATTCTGTATAGCAAATTAAGATAACCCTATTAATAGCATGTGCTGCTCCTTCACTGCCACAGACATCCACATTCATTATGTTTGTGACCCCACTGTAAAAGCCTGAGGCATCAATTAATTGATGTAGAAAGAAGTCTAATTTTAATACAAGTACTATAAGTAACAGTCTTGTGTGGACCCCAGGAGAGTGGGCTAGATGACCTAGAAATTCTCCTTTCTAATTTCTAGAATTATTTGAGAATGAACAGTTTGGGTAGGCAATCTGTTGCCCAGGTAGAGGTATATAAAAAGGGTATGAAAGAAACACCACACCATAAAGTACTCCAATTTTTTATTTATTTATTTTTTAAAGAAAAAAGTGTCAGACTTGTATATTTGCATCTCTGCACTGCTATGGTAGCCTCTGACTGTAATATTCTATTTAATTTCTAAAATCTTTCCAATTGCAGCCTTCATACAAGGAAATGTTCCCCCAGTTAGGATTAACAGGTCCCCAAACCAATACAACTATATATGGGAAAAAGTTTCTCCAAATACATTGTTTAGAAGCAACAAAATTTGTTATAATACACAGAACCGTGTCAAATGTGAAAGTCTGCAGAATTCCTAAACTAGCTGTCAGAATTTAAGAAAAGAATCAAAATGGGTTCCGAGTCAAGCCTGAAGCAAAGAAAACAGCATTAAGGCTGTATAGTATAAGTACCAAAGTTATATATTGACTAGCAGGGGACAATTAACTGCATATATGGCCTTATCTGCACATATTTTCACATTTTACTGTAAAATGTCACATGCAAAGTTTGACAGGGATCATCTACTTAGCCTACAGGCTAACATCTAGAACCAAGATAGCAGTTACTAGACTACTATTACAGTGGCAAGGCAAAGCAGGGGTCCAAAATATATAGGCAGCAGCCTCAAGTGAGTCAGACAGATATGGATCCCCCAAATTAATACATATTTAGTGCTGAAGGGCCCATATGCTGACTCTTTTCAGGCAACAAGGTTTGAAATGTAAGGAAGAGAAGATTCACATGAAAGGAATGTGCCTTGCCGGCAGTTCTTTCCCGAAGCCTTCCTCTCTATCTGATGTTGCATGTTGCCAGTCAGGGGATCACACACCTAATGTCTTTTCTTCCTGACACTATTTCTGTGTTGTAATATAGAGACCATATTCATTTAAAAAAAAAAACAAAAACAAAATAGACTTGACATAAGCCATTCCCCCAGCCTCCAGTTAAAATAGTAGAAATAGGCAATAATATGTGTATTTCAATATACTTCATTAACAAAAATCTATTCCCAAGTCTTTGATGGCATTTGTTACAGAGCTATGAACTGTTTCTCACCTCACAAACAGTAAGCACTTGCACTGTGAGGAAGACTTTCCTTCAGAGGTGAAGAAATGCCTGGTAAACACAATTCTAGTTTAATTTAATATTCTATGATCTCATCGCATTTCAAAAGGCAGAATATGCTGTGGGTACTCAAACTGAGCATGAGAGAGATATAATCTTCACTGATCTTAAAACACATTTATTTAGGATCCCATGTCTCAGTAACAGAAAGGAAGCAAAGAAACAACAAGAACTTTAAATATATTTACAGTTATTTTTACAAAGTGAATATCTGGATGTGAACTTACTGTAAGATTCCAGTTGATCTGTGGTATTCTTGTATGAAGATTTAGACTGAACATAAGCAATAAAACTCCAGTAACTACAAATGCACTACAGCTCACAAACTCAAAGAAATAAAGGCCTTCGCACGGGGAACATTCCATGATGGTTTCTATGCAGATGAATGCAATCAGTGCCAAAACCTAGGAAGAAAAACAAGTGGAAAAAAATATAAATAGATTTCCACATTTTGAAAATAGCCACAAGTATTCCTGAAATTTCCATTGGGAACATGATCAGTTTACTCTCAGGAATGCACGATTTAAAGTTTAGAGCAAAGTTTAGAGCAGAGCAGTATTTGAAAGCAAAAACAAAGAAAAATTAATGCAAGACTTTTTGGGTACTTATGTATGATAGTACTTAACAAAATGGCTGTGATCTAACATCTTCATTGATCCATGGCAACTTAAAAAAAGGACAGACACCTCACTTCCCTAACTCAATGATCTAAAATTTTTAAAAGGCTACACAAATAGTTTATTTCACTTCTTTATTATTAGGTGTGCACCGATAGAGATTTTTGGGGCAGATACTAACAGCTGATTTTTAAGGAGGCATATCAGCCAATAACGATCCAATTTCTGATACCAGCCTGGCAGCCTGGAGAGCTGCGTGCAGTTAGTAAGTGCAACCAGAGAAGCTGCAGCTCCATCCCGCGCCCGCCCCGCCTGCACTTGCCCTAGCCCCTGCTCCACTCCTTTCTTACTGTGAGGGCCTTGATCTACTCTCCCACACCCCTTCCCTCCCACCACACCAGACTTCCCAGCTGCATGCAGCTCTCCAAGCTGCCGGGCTGTGCTCCTTGCTGCCTACATGCCGTGCTGTGGCTGTGCGCATGCACGAGTATTTATCAGCCAAACTATCTGCCACATCAGGCCAATTTCTGATACGATCAATTTTCTTTATATTAGTGCCAATCCAATAATCAGACTGATGTATCGGCGCACCTCTATTTTTTCTCTCTCAGACCAGGTTTCAGAGGGAACAAACTACTTTTGCCTGGTAGTACCAAGATCCAGCCAAATCCCAGAGTAAATGCTTTTCATTTCAAAAGTCATTATCACCTTAAAAAGTACACAGGTTAAAACAATTACAAATACATTCATGGGTTCCACCTTCCTCCAAGAACCCATTGCCTATTTTTTATAGTTTAGCAATCATACACTTCTTTCTTTGCAAATGCTTATTTCTTCATCCCCTTGCTACTGGCAAAAACACTCATGTAAATAGAGAAGTTCTGAAATCCTGATCTTGCAAACTCCTACCCACTTTCAACTTGTGCAGAAAGTAGTCCCACTGAATTCAGTGACATGACTCGTATGTAAAGTCAAGCACAGACAAGGGCTTGCAAGACTGGAATTCAGCTTACTATCCACAGCACACTGTGAAAGTTACTATGCTGAAGTCTATGCAAAAGCATAAATGAAAACATTAATGCAAAATAAACTCATATGCATCAGCCCTACACACTGTTTGTATAATTATAAAAATCTCCAACATTAAAGTATAAACTTCAAGTTGAAGATTCCCCTTTTAAAAGTAATCTATAAAAAAGTTGGGTTTTTATTACACATAAAATGCCTGCACTGCTTTCTAGAAAGGATATTTTCCTACGCTTCTCAGAAACTGACTATGGAACCTGCGAATCTCTCTATCCTGGAAGACTCTATAGCAGGGGTGTCCCACCTTTTTGAATGTGAGGCCAGATCACAAACTTTTTATCACCCAGTGGGCCAGTGAGCCATATTCAAAGACCTCACAGGAAGCGGTATCACATCAGGAAGTGATGTCACGTGACCTTTGACACCAAGGAAGTTGCAGGAAGTGACAATGAAATGGGTCTGGAAATGTGGTTTAAAATCCAAAATAAAAACAATATAAAAGCACGAATGAAATAATACCAAACACTTGACTAAAATAAACACTTTCGCTTCTACTCACGTCTCAATGAATGAAAGAAGCATAATGCAACTTGACAGATCAAAATGTGGAAAAGATATCGGCCAGAGTGGAAACTAATCAAAGCAACAAAATATAGGCATTTTTGAGAATAATCTTTAAGAAGATTTACTTTTATTGAATTAATAACTTGTTAGTAACACATCTTCAACAAGTAGTAACAAGTTGAACCCCCAATTCCGCACAAAGAGAAACAGAAGCAAACACAATCCAAACACTGGACAGTATTTTTACAAAAATTTTTACCTGCTCCAAATTTAAGCCTGGCCAGCCCATCCCATCCCCTATCAAGCGGTGGCTTCCCCCCATGCTGCTGCAGTTTCCCCCTACCGGGGGAGCTGGTCCCAAAAGGCAGGAGGCTTCACCATCACTTCTGCTGGCCAGTGCCGACCGGTCGGGCATCCCCAGCAGCACGTGGGAAACCGGCTTCAGCCGCATGCTGCCCCACCCGGGTCGGCACCGGCCAGGAAAAGCAGCATGCAGCTGAAGCCAGCTTCCCACGTGCTGCTGGGTACAGGAGGAGGCTGGCCAGGTCGGCACCAGCCAGCAGAAGCGGCGGCAGAGCCGCGCCACTCGGGACTGACCGGTGCAGACAGGGGGAAAATGCAGCTATCCCCTGCCGCTCCGGCCGGGCTCGTCCCACCGCAAGCGGCACACGGCTCCGCCGCCACTTCTGCTGGTCAGCGCAGACCTGGCCGGTCTCCTCCCGTCCCCAGCAGCACGTGAGCAGCTAGTTTCAGCTGCGTGCCGCTTTTCCTGGCTGGTGCTGACCTTCATAGACACTAGGGCTGGAAGGGACCCAGGAGGATCATTGAGTCTAAGCACCCTGCCCCAGGGGCAGGAAGTCAGCAGGGATCATAGGATCCCAGCAAGATAGACATCCAAATGTCTCTTGAAAGTGTTCAAAGTAGGTGCTTGGACCTGGCTGGATCCATCCCATCCAGAGCAGCATGCAGCTGAAGCCGGCTTCTCACGTGCTGCTGGGGACAGGAGGAGCCCGGCTGGGTCTGCACCAGCCTACAGAAGCAGCAGTGAAGCCGTGTGCTGCTCGGGACAGGACAGGACAGGACAGGACAGGACAAGCCCAGCCAGAGCAGCAGGGGCTCAGCTGCATTTACCCCCTGTCTGCACCAGGCAGTCCCGAGCGGCACATGGCTCCGCCACCGCTTCTGCTGGCTGGTGCCGCCCTGGCTGGCCTCCTCCAGTCCCCAGCAACACGTGGGAATCCGGATTCAGCTGCATGCTGCTTCGGATGGGATGGACCCGCCCAGGTTGGCACCAGCCAACAGAGGTGGCAGTGGAGCCATGTGCCACTCGGGACTGACGCAGGTACGGGAAAGTGCAGCTGAGCCCCTGCTGCTCCGGCTGGGCTCATCCTGTCCCGAGAGGCACATGGCTACTCCTCTTCCCACACGCACCGCACCGGCAACGTCAAGCTAACGTGGTGCGTGTGGGAACCTTATCCCTTCCCCAGCCCTTCAGCAGCCATTAGGAAGCTGCTAAGGGGCTAGGGGAGGGACAAGGGGTGGGAACGAAAGTAAACCGTATTTACTTTCATTTCCAGTTGCAGCACCACGGGCCAAAGAAAATGCCTTGGCCAGCCACATGGCGGCCCGCGGGCCGTATGTTGGACAAGCCTGCTCTATAGTGACTGGAGGACTGCAGGAAATTATCATCAGAAGTATAAGCCAAGGCTAATTAAAATTCCTCTCTTCACTTAGCATGAACATGTCTGTCTATAAGCTGAACAACTATCACAAACAACTTTAAATTAGACAACATACAGCCTTATCCCAACTCACAGCAACCTTCTAGTGACCCACAAAGCACTGCAGCACAGCTGAAAAAGGGGGTTTTTTTTGTTTATTTATATATACGTATAAAAAGCTTTTTATTTTATACATCAAGCTATTGGGTGGGGAAGCAAAGACTCGGGATGTGCATCCTATTGATCATGCTAACGCAATGGACTATTGGGGTGCTTACACACATGCAGGGAGGCTGCTCCGAGGGGCTGTAAATCAATTAATCAAGCTTTCTGGAGCGTGGAAATTAACATGCTCCAGCAGCCTCCAGCATTTTGCATCAGTGTCCCTGCACTGAAATATGGCAGCAGGGCACTTTGACCTAAAGCCTGTCATTTTTTTCTTTTAGCATGGGGACACTGATACACATTACACATGATGCTTGGGAGCTTTTAATTAGCACAGCTCACTAATTACAGCGCTCACCTCCCAGAGCATGTCTATAAACAAACACCCTTGAGGACTGGACAGTTTTTCTTCAGCTGAAGAAACACACACACACACACACACACTTTTCTGAAGAACAAAACAGATCTACACCAAATGATTTGGATCTTCAAAGCTAACATACTCCTTTCGCCAGCCTAAGCTTCAAAAGAAATAGTTCCTTTATATAAAAAAATACAGCCAAATGTCAAGATGATGAACTCTGCACAAAAGATATTAGATTCTTATTTACAAGTTCTGACAGATTAAACATTATGAAAACTTTTAAGCAACTACTATTATTAGACTGCACTTCACTGTTCATTACAGGGGGTGGAAATTACCTGCAACGCATGCAGCAAGGAAAATTCTACTTATATAGAGCTATTTTTGCTAACTAACTATTTCAACGGCAAGTTGCATGGGGTGAATCATCACTTATGAAAGACTTTATAGCATTCACTCAAACTTGCCCATGTATTGCTAATGTGAGCCCACCAGTGTATTTAGGAAGAAAAGTATAAAAATAATTTCACAATTGCTTCAGTTCAGGATGGAAACCCTGAAAATACAACTGAAGAAACTTTCAAAATCATTCAGCATTAAACAATTTTGTTCCTTCTCACTGGGGTTATCATCGATTTAGTGGAAGCAACACCAAAAACTTTAGAATTCCACCGTGTCAATATAATTTTTTCTATTATTCAAAGTTTTGAATTTTTTTCAGATTTTTTTCTTTTCTCCATGGTAAAAGGTGGTTCAAAAAGCACAAGTTACAACACTCATCTTGAAAAGAATTATTACTTCTATCATATGCTACTGATGATACCTTTTCATTATTAATGCATCATCTCTGCATGTGTCACAATGAGTGCTATAACTAAAAATAAATCGGAATAAATTATCACATCATAAAACAGAACAAAGTTCTGCCACGGACGCTTTACATATCC